CTGCTGGGTCATATGGTAATTCTATTTTTAGTGTTTGAGGAACCCCCACACTGTTTTCCATAGTGGCTACACCAATTTACATTCCCACCAACAGTGCAGGAGGGTACCAATTTCTCCACACCCTCTCCAGCATTTGTTATTTGTAGACTTTTTATTATTTATTTGATAATAAGTTGAACGGGCACCCTTGGCAGTTAAAGCTGAATCCTAACCACCAGACTGCTAGGGAATTCCTGGGAGACTTTTTAATGATGGCCATTCTGACAGGGGTGAGGTGATACCTCATTGTAGTTTTGACTTATATTTCTCTAATAATCAGCCTCACCTCCTTCTTGAAGTCTTTCCTGACCATGCTGGTCCCAATGAGCTTTATTCTTCCTTTCCCTCCATGACACTTAGAAATGATGCCTCTCACTTTATACTTTGATGGTACTTAAATTACTTTTTGCATTTAAAAGTGTGTGTCACATTAAGGGTGTATATAACACTCTTATAAACCCTGCTACCCCTGGGAAACTATTATAGCAGAAATACTTGTTAAATATGATTTTATTGCCTTTAATCAAAAGGCTTTTTGACCAAAAACTGTTGCATCAATAACTATTTCTCACCTGAAATATTAGGCAGGGCCAAGAAACACAGCTATTAACTTTAACTTGAAAAACAATATTTTGAATTGGAAGCTGAGAATGGCTACACCATCCAAGAAATATTCTTAGAAGAATGTACAAGAAAAAGGGAAACCCAACCATCTTTCTTCAACTCAAAATTCTTCAAACTTTGCTCCCTTCTCTAGATCTTTTAATTCCCCCTAAGCGTTCCAAGAGAAAGAAGGTTGTTAAGCAGCCCGTGGGCCCTCTGAAAGTAGCCATACCTTTCTGTGCCATTTGCTTCATGCCTTTCTGGCCCAGGGGCGGGTGGGAAAGTGCCATGGAGGGAAGGTCTCCAGCCACTGCCTCCCACTCAGCCTGCATTCCCCCTTTCTCTAATTTTGCCTGCACTTGTGAGCTGTTGAGGAAAGCTTGGAACCTAGAAAGCATTCTGTCTGGAAGTTGATTAGAAAAGTATTCAGTTTATAAAAATATAACTCGAATAATTTTGTAGAAAAAGACTCTAAAAAGTATTTATTTATTAGTCGTGCTGGGTCTTCATTGCTGCGTGGGCTTTTCTCTAGTTGTGGTGAGTGGCGGCTCTCTAGTACATGAGCTTCTCACTGAGCTGGCTTCTCTTACTGCCAAGCACAGGATCTAGGGCTCGCAGGCTTCAGTAGTTGTGGCTTCCAGGCTCTGAAGCAAGGCTTAGTAGCTATGGAGCGGCACATGGGCTTAGTGCATGTGGGATGGCATGTGGGATCTTCCTGGACCAGGGATTGAACCCGTGCCTCTGGCATTGGCAGGCGGATTCTTTACCACTGAGTCACCAGGGAAACCCCCAAAACTTACCTTTAAAACAGAAATAAATGACTCAATAGCAAATGTAGCTTGCTCTTGTAATGGGGTACCCCCATTGCTTACCAGTGTGGGGAGTCAACTTCAATCACAAGGGGAAAAATATGTAGGCCAGCATCAAAATATGCAATACCTTTTAGAATAATCTTTTTTTTTATGGGACAAACATCCTAAATTGTTGCTTATAACTTCCCTGGTGGTCCCGTGGTTAAGAATCTGCCTTCTAATGCAGGGGATGCAGGTTCGATCCCAGGATGGGGAACTAAGATCCCACATGCTGCAGGGTAACCAAGCTCCCAAGCACTGCAACTACTATGCCACACTCAGCACAGCCAAAAGAAAATTGTTGCTTACAAAATAAAAGATCATAATAAACCAAGCTTGGGTTAGAGACTATTAATGATACAGGATATTGTTGGGGGAATGGCAGAGAAATCACTTAATATTTTTACTGACACCTTTTAAAACAGGCTAATGATTTCTAAATCTATGTGCCTATGGAGACACTGTCAAGTAAAAATGGTGCCATGAAAAAAATAATCAGAGCTTTTTGGAGTTAAGTGTTAGCTAATGGAAAGAAACCATTACATAGTAACATTTAATATTATTATTTATAAGAGGATTTTATGAGCTCTGTTTGTGTATCTGAGCAGTACTGAGCAAGCTGACATACTCTTCATTCTTTGTTGGTTATAGTCATGAAAGGATTCTTAGGACTTACTGCTTTATGACCTACACCAGCTACTTCTCTCACTCAGCCCCAGTTTCCTCACCTCTAAAATGGGGACTGATAGTACCTACCACATATGGTCAAGTGAGACAAAGCATAGGATGTACTTAGCATAGCAAAACAGGTATTTTATGATCAAAAACTAATTTTCTCAGTTTTAAATGTGCTAAGAATAAAGTTTACCATCAATTTATTTTAAATCCATATTTGTGTGATGAAAAGATTACTGAGTCAGGAGATCTAGGCTTCCCTGGTGGCTCAGAGGGTAAAGAATCTGCCAGCAATGCGGGAGACCCAGGTTCAGTCTGTGCGTTGGGAAGATCCTCTGGAGAAGGAAATGGCAACCCACTCCAGTATTCTTGCCTAGAGAATCCCATGAACAGAGGAGCCCGGCAGGTTACAGTCTATAGGGTGGCAAAGAGTTGGACATGACTGAGCGACTTGACTTGACTTCTTCTTCAGCCTATAGTGATGACTAGGCAAATTAACCTCTCTGGGTTTCTATTCCTTTGGATTTATGAAGGAGCTGGATTAGAAGATCTCTGAGTAGTTTCCATTTCTTGAGTTCAGTGTTAGGATTTTTTTCCAATTCATTTTTAAACACGGACATTAAGAAGCATTGTATGCTTTAGCAATATATTTTTTTAAATTAAATGTACATCAGATTAAAATCATATTATGCAGTGTTAAAAATACTGAAGGATATTAAAAATGATACATGTACCTATCATTCACTTTAAAAGATACAAAAAAATCGGAAATACTGTGAGTGAAGTTCAATTGTATTTAAAGGTGCAAAAACAAGATTGCAATATCTGTACAAAGATTGCAATATCTGCTAAAAAATAAAGGAAATTACTTTGGATGCCCATTGTTTCTGGAAGAAGGGTGTTTTTGTGCCTGTGTGGCTCTGATGTTATAGTAAGTGGAGGCCAAAGATGAGGACAGATCCCTCCTTTTGGGAACGTTTCATCTAACTGAAGCGGAGCAAATATAGCTTAGCAACAAAAAAACACCTAAATAAAACATGGACCCTGCATTTGATATGCATGTCATTTGCAGTAAGATTTTTGAGGCAATCCAGGCTAATGGAAACACTCCTTGACAAAGAATTGGATTCAAATTTTGGCTTCTTTCCACTCTTAAGTGTGTGACCTCGGACAAGTTATGCAATCCTCTCTGCCTCAGTTTCTTCATAAAATGGGGCTTACTTTAGAGTTGTTGTGACTATTACATGAGATAATATAGGCAAGGCTCTAACAACAATGCCTGACACATAAAGCTCAATGAATATTAGCTATTATTATTATTCAATTCCATAAATAATTATTGCATATCTACTATGTAGCAGTCTCTGTACTAGATCCTGAAATATCTATGGGGCTTTAGCTTTTTGTGTCTGGTGTACAAAGAATGTGTTACAGAGTTAGATACAAAATTCTGGTAAATATAGCATTCCAGTGGGACCCAAGTTAATCTATTAAAATAAAGGCCATTTGGAGTTCAGAAGACTTTTTAAATTCAGGAGGGAATATGAGATGCAAATAAAGTAGTTACTTAAGGTCTTGCCTATTAGTTGTTGAGTTCCTGTGCCAGGTTTTAGAGAGGGCATTATGATGCATATTAAAACCACGGTGACATTCAAAGAGTCAAACATGCCTGATTAGACTTTCATGTCCTGTATTTATAAAAAGGTTAGTGGTGCATTTCCTCCATGCAAATTATTTTTGGTTCTTACTAATATTTATGAATATAATAAAGTTTACACAGCAGAAGGTATGTGATCAATTTGTTTTAGTCATCAGCTTGCTTTCATGTAAGGAGATATCCCAGAAGAGGCTATGTCTTGACCAGTAATTTCAGCAGGTAGGGATCAGGCAACATATAGGAAAGAGCAATTGTACTTCTCACTATGGGGCAAAATAAGAAATAGATTTATGACAATAATGCGTTCTCGTATATGAATGTATCACAGAAATATTATAGGAAGACATGCCTCTCGGAAGTGATTTTATTGTGATGCTTTTGGGGCCTTGACTATACAACAATAGCGTCTGTATGGCAAGTTGTCCTGGGTGGGTGTGTCCACAAGATATTAGGTTTTACTTGAATCCAACAGAGTTGCTGCCCATTGGCTCTCAGTGATCTTGGGTTGGGCTAGCATTGGCACCAGTCTGTCTGGTTACTTTTGACGGGGATAGTATTAAACCATGTTCCTCTCCCCATGTGGTCTAATATATAATTGGTCACTAACTGTCCCTTTGCGCCCCACCCCTTGCACATTTTTGCATGGCAAAAAAACTCTTGGTGTAAAGGAGAAAAGTGAATGGGCCGCTTCTTAACAATAAGCAAATGAACTGAAGCACTTCCTATGATAGGAAGAGTAATATGTCAGAAACGACTTGGAAGCCCATTTTGTCCACAGCCAGTTGTAGGTTGTTTAAGAAAATAGAAACGTTGTGGGTTCTTTTGTCCTTGGTACTCTTCTTCGGCCTATTCCATTTCCATGAGGTTTATGGTTTTAATATGAATACTAACACCACCCCCAAAGGCACCCCCCCACAGCCCCCCAATAATACAAGTCACAAAACACAGCTCAAAGGAACGAACACAAAGCACCTGCGACCGTCCTCCATTTGGGTGCAGTCTTGATTCTCCAGAGAAAGGAAACTCTCAGAACTAGAGGTCTGAATACACACGGGCCAGGACTTGGGCCTTCCCGGTAAAACAAAAACAAAACAACAAACACCAGCCCCTCCCCCCTCTAAAAGCAAAACCAGAAAACCCACGGCGCCGCTGCTGCTAACTATTAGCAGCCTGGCTCAGGCTGCCTGTAAAAAACAAAAACAGGAGCCTGCGTTCCCGGGACCCCGGCGGTCCAGGGTCAGGGCGAAGTTCCCGGGGTCCGGCCCTAGGACGCGGGCAGAGCCGGGCGCGAGGCTCCCGGGGACTTTCACCTGCTCGGCGGGCAGCGCGGGGGCGGCCCCGGCGGCGGGCGGAGCCTGGGCGCCCTGCGGGAGGAGCCGGCCCGGGCCCGCCCCGCAGGAGGAGTCGCTCGCCGGCGGCTGCTCCGGCGTCTCCGTGACAGGCACCCAGCTCCGCCGCCGCCGCCTTTTCTTCCTCGTCCCGGGCTGTCCGCGCCTCTGTTCCCGGGCCAGCGCCGCGCCCAGTCCCATCGCGGGCCGCGCGCCCACCGCTCCCCTCCCCGGGCCTGGGCGCCGCGCTGCCCGCTCCCACCGCCGCCCCCGCCGCCTTCCTCGCCGGCAGGAATTGCGCGGCCACAGCGCCGCTCGCGTCGCCCGCATCCGCGCAGCCCGGCCCTCGGCGTCTCTCCGAGTCCGGGCTTCCACGGCCGCCGTGCGGCCGGGGCGCCTCTCGCCCGGCGACCCTCCTCTTGCGCCCCCGCCGCGCGCCGCCGCCCCCGGCTCCCGCCTCCCCTCCCCGCGGTCTCGCCAGCCCCTTCCTGCCACCGCCTCCTCTGAAGGAGCCGGTCCACCGCGGGTCACCATGCCCAGCAAAACCAAGTACAACCTTGTCGACGATGGTCACGACCTGCGGATCCCCTTGCACAACGAGGACGCCTTCCAGCACGGCATCTGCTTCGAGGCCAAGGTGAGGGGCCCCGGGGAAGGGACTGTCCCGGAGGGGGCACGTCTGAGCGGATGGGATGCGCAGCCATCCCGGACGCAGAACTGCTGGGTTAGGCTGATTTGGGGGCCTTTCTGTTAGGGAGGATGACTCCCCTTCTCTGTATAGAATTCCGCAGGTTCCTGCCCAGAACTGCTAAAGAGTTAACTGCAAAGTTTGAGCGGTATTGCTTCATTCCCCTCCTCCCACCTGCAAACTGCCCCATCCTTACCCACCCAGGACTCACTGAGTTACTTCCCGGATCCCTCCTTCTGAGAAGAAGCCAGTCGGGGAGTGCAGACTGGACTTGGTTCTTTAGAATCGGTTTAGGGAAGCTTTGGTGTCATTTACCTGTTGGGATTCCGTGGGAGAGGTGCTTTCAGGAAGGTCTTTTATAAGGGGAATACCTCCTTCCTGATTGATGAAAATAATACAGGGATGGGTTTGTTTTTAGATTCCTGGTAAACCCAGCCAGGTGTCAGAGTCACTTCCTAAATGCCTTGTTAGCCACGACTCCTTTGCAAGTGCCAGTCATTGAAGGGGGAGGTGTGGTGAAAGCTGCCCGGTTGCTAGTTTTGTGGCATAATGTTAAATTTCAACAGCTAGTAGGGGACTGCTGCTGAAGAATTTATCGGTGGGGGCCGGGGTGGGGCGGCAACAGGAATTTTCAGCTCAGAGCCCCAGGTCCGTCCTTGGGAGAAGGGGGGGTGGTGAGGCGGAAGCCTCTGAACTGCACCATCAGGTGTGAATAAGGCTGGCCCCCTGTCATGCACTTCCCAGAGTGAGGAGTTCTGGTTTCTGAGATTGCAGCCGGGGTTCCTGCCCATCACAAGGGAGGAGTGCTTCTGCTCTTCCTTCATGCCTCTTGACGCCCTCTCCTCAAGACTCAAGGATGCTCAGCACCTACTGTGTGCCTGTCACTGACAAGTGACAGAAAATACAGCCCTCCTAGTCGGTTGTGTCTTGCTGCTTTTGAAAAGGTAATGCTTTCGACAGGGAGGCAGTTTTACTCTCTGCTCCCTTTTTCTCCTTTGTGACTTTGTAGGTAAGGTGTTAAGCATCTCAGGCAAGGATTGCTCCATCAGGTGGCTATTTCCTTCGATTCATGAGACATCTTTTTGAGTGCCTGATATGAGTCCAGTGCAGTCAGTTATCTTTCAGTTTCTTTTTTTTCCTTCTCGTGGTGATGTTAAATCTTACCTTTTCTCCCACTTCCTGAATAACCTTCCCCCAACCATATTTGCTAGAGCTAGGAGGACACCCCCTGTTCCCCTAGATATCAAGCCCTGCAGTGGAATGCAGAACTGAATTACTGGGTATGGCTGGGACCAGAGTGGGGCTGTAGCCAAGATCTTATCTTGCTTCTCTCAGAATAGATCTGGTTGGTCTGATACCAGATCAGATGGGTTAATTTTTGTCTGGGCCTGTTGCTTTGGTGAGCAGGTTTTTAAATTTTAAGGTATGAGTTTTCATCACATCATGACCTAATTTTCTTGGACACGCATGAACTGGGCAGTTGGCTGTGGTCTTGTTTGGTTCACCAGTACTCTGCTTTGCAAGGCAGAAGAGAGATCAGAATTAAAGTGTTTTTAACCTTTTAATTCTTTTCTCACAGTCTCTGCTAGTTTGGTCCTAACTAGGACTCATAACCTAGCATGCATAAGAATCACCAGGCGAGGTTGTTGAAAACTCTGATTGTTGCTGCCCCCAGTCCTAGCCTGACACATCTGGGGAGAGACTGGGACTGCACCTCTAAGGAGCATTCCAGGTGCTTTAATGCAGGTGGTTGGGACCAGAATTGGAGAAACACTGGGGGTGCAGTTCCTATAGTAACTTCCTTGGATTCACACACAGTGGTGCCCGATAAGAGGAGGGGGAACCACAGTTGGTCCCCGCTGTGTTCCCGTTACAGATCTGGACTGCAGCACACCAAGGGTTCTGCTTTGAGAATGGTGAAGTGGGGAAGAAAGGGCAGGGCTGACTTTGAGAACTGGGTCCTAAATCCCAGCTGTTTGTAATCGATGCTGGACACCAGTACATTCAAATCATGTCAGCTGAGACCTGAGCAGAGGTGGAAGTAGAAGCTTTTCTGTCCTGTGAGCATCTGGCAAGTGCCTTGTCTGGCTGGCTTTCACATCCCTCCTGAGCAGTGTCCATGGGAGTGCATGATCACTGGGATTTCAGGGTTAAATACACGCCACACTCATTCCTTGTTTTGGAAAAGAACAGGCTGTAAAATGTAAATGTATCCATGCTGCCTTGTCAAATACCCTTGGAAAATGAGCCCAGATCTTTGCCTCCCAAGGGCTGGCAGTTTTTCAGGATCAACACTGGATGGAGTGACTTTTTGGATGGATGTGTTCATTTTCAGGGTGCTGCAGAGATTGAAAGGTTATGGCTAGGAACTGAAAGGCATCTGGGTGTCAGAGGTTCTATGCACTTAAAAACCACACCATCCATTTAATTATCAAGCAGAATCCTAGAGGTGTTTCACCTGCAGTACTTCATGTGATTCTCACTGCTTCCCTGGAGGTCTCTGTAGTTGCGTCTCCTTATATCTTATCAATGAGGATATATTGCCTGCTTTAGCTCTGTGTATGGCAGAGCTATGGTTTAAACCTGGGAGCTTTGACTGTAGACTCTCAAATCCAATGCTCATTCATTTACTAATTTTTATGGAATGTTCACTCTGTGCTGGGGGGTTGGTCTGATTTTACGGTTCACTGGTGGGGCATCCTTAGGTTGCTGGCCTCTCTGACTCTGATGTAGAAAATTATTCAAGTTTTTAGTGCTGGACTCTTTCAGATATAATCTTGGGCCGGGAGCTGCTCTTAAGGGATACTGCCCTCTGTGTCCGAAAGGGCACTTGGCTCACTGACCATTGCTGATGGGTAGGTGGTAGAAGTCCTTCGAGGCTTGAAAGCCTGTGTGGCTCCTTTCTATCTGCCTCCCTCTTTCTCTCTCTCAGTATACCTTCCTGGTGGCCAGTGCCATCAACTGGCTGTCTCTGCTTGCTGGGTGTGAAGAAGACCTCTGATGATAAAGGTGCAAAGAAGAAGAGTATTAATAGCAAAGTTATGCTTTACATTTGTAGGTTGATTTTTTATTTTCATGGGACTTTCACACACAAAAAATGTTCCTTATGTGGCAGGGGGAACGATAGAGTTGTTTCCATTTTTCAGATGGAAAAAAAAAAGGGAATCAGAGAGATTAACTTGCCTAGGGTCACAGAACTGATGAGAGAGTAATGATTATAGCTGATGTTTGGTGAATAGTTACTATGGACCATGCATTGTTTGAGATGCTGCCTCACTTAAGTTTCAGATTGCAGCGCTTTTGAGTCCTAGTGCGTGGCCCTGTCACCTCACCCTGACGTAGTAGCTCCCTCTGTGTTCCTCGCCCTCATTGCCTAGTACACTCACTGATCTGGGCGTGTATGGCATAGCCTATCAGAAATAAAAAGCACCTTAGCTCACTCCTACAACTTCCTCATTTTACAGATGAGGAAATTGAGGTCCAGAGGGGAAGTTGTTGACCCAAGGACCCGTAGCTAGGTAAGAACAGAACCGGGACTCATTCCTAGTTTCCTGGCCTCAAGGTGGTTTCAGTTATCTGTTGCTGTGTAACAAGCTATCTCACAACTCAGTGGCTTATGACAAGGTCTGTTTAATCTGCTCATGATTCATAAGCTAGGAATTCAGTCAGGGCTTTGCCGGGCTGTTCTTCTGTTCACCGTGGTGCTGACCTGCTCACTCACTTGGCTTCATTCTGCAGTGGCGGGTCTTGTCCTAGAAGGCTCCACCTCATGGCTGTGCCGAGGTGGTCCTCCACATGGCGGTTCTCTCCACTGGGTAGCGTGGGTTTCCTCATAGCATGGTGGCCCTTTGATCTGGCAGCTGGCTTTCAACAGGGAATGTTTCATGCAGGGAAGGTGGAAGCTCTTAAGGCCTGGGCTCCGAAGTACACAGAATCACTTCTGTGTTCCGTTGGTCACATCAGGCCATCGCCTAGCTTAGATTCAAGAGGAGGAGCAGGAGACCTCACTTCTTGGTGCAGAGCGTCATGGTCAGTTGCAAGAGTGCACGTAGGATGAGAGATAATGCTGAAGCCGTCTTGGGATCACGATCAGCCGTGAAATTTTGTGTTCTCTCCCTTCTTCATGTGCCTTCTCCAGTGATGAGTGTTCTCTGAGGGCCTTGTCTTGTGCTTCTGAGTACATCTCCTTCCCCCAACATCAGGTACATATATATGTACCAACAGTATCAAATTATTTATCGAGTGGAAGAAATGACCAATTTTAAAAAGTCTGAAAGCTGTAAATATATTGTCTTATTGCTGAGCGATGTGGGGGATTTGTGAGTTCTTGGTCAAATCTGAACTGAATTCTCTAGTCATTATTTCCCTGTTTGCTAAATGGCTTGACTGGCTGATGATGTGGTTATGGATTTTAGAGATTCCAATAACCCCACACCACAGGTTTCCTATGAATGAATCTTAAACACACTGTCTTGAGGCTTCCAGGTTAGGATGTTACATACATTGATTCACCACAAATGGGGTACTCTAACTCGAACCTAGCCTAACAGCTTCATAAGAAGCTGTGATTTTGGTTCTGTGATCAGAACCAACACTGATATGTTCCAGGTGTGTGCTCTCCACACCCTCTCCACCCCCGCCCCCCCATCCGCAAGAGTCCTGTCTTCCAGGATTGTGGACACGTACAGATTCAGATAGATGCCCTTGTGTATTCGCTGATGTCATCATTGAAGTGCAGGTTATTTCACCTTAGTAGGTATTTGTCCAGATGCTTTAAAATCCATTGTTCCCTTCTGTCTGGACCACATGAGTCTGGGGGATGATGAGTCTCAAAGATACGGTACTGCTTAGAAACGATACCTGTTTTTATTCAGCCTTATTTTGCTCTCAGGCGTCGCAGGGTGTTACTCCACAGCCGGTATTTTAGAACTTGATGAGAGCAAATCTCT